AGATGTTGCATACCTTTAAATTGTGCATTTTTCATTGTATGTTCAGCTGAGACTGAAGCCTGTTAAGAGCTGAATTCCTTTCTCCTTAGGAGTAGACAGAAAAGTGAGTAAACTTCATTTTGCATGATTAAAGGAAAAATATATTTTGTGTCTGTTCTCTCGTCTGCTTTTGTCTAGCAAAATGAAACCCTGTGTCCTTACAAAACCCTCACTCTTCATTTTTACATTCAGCAATATCCTCTCTCTGCAGTACTGACATATGGCTCGACACAACCACATGCAATTACTGCTGGAATGGTACTAGCTTGATTAATTCTTCTTCTCCTAAAAATCTTGGTAGTAATCACTCCATCCGTTTTTGTCAGCGAAGCACCATTCCTGCCCTAGCTGCCCTTCTGCCAGCCTTCCACCCCGTGGCAGTGCTGCAAAACCCAAATCCCAGCCCTTCTCTGGGTCACAGAACACTCTGTGCAAAACCTTCCTGCTCTGCTGAAGGAAGGATTTCAGAAAGCTGACTCTAACCCAGCCACTGTGCTTCCTTACCAGAACAAACCATGCCTGAAAGGCTGGGAAAAAGAGGTCACTGAGGCATCTGTCATGTCAGTGGGGTGTGTTTTTTGGAGTACAGCATTTCTACATCACATATCTTAGGTCTGTGCAATCAAAACTGAACCCCAGTAAAGAGCTCAAGCTGCTGGGAGGGAGAACACGAAAACAGTGTGCACCCTTTTGATCTAATCTGTTCTCTGTATCACTGGGTGATGGTTCTAGAAACTGAGTATTTAAAAGGTTCTCAATACTTTGTAAAAGTAGTTTGGAGACATTTTGTGGTGGCATGGTTTTATCTTTGTATTTTTACTTCGTATTTTCTTCTTTTTTGGCAAATAAAGGACTTTTGAATTTAAGAAGTAAAACCTGGCTCATAGTGGTGGGTAGAGTGTTACTGTTCACTTCATCTCCAGCTCCTGTCCCAAAATCATTTTCCCTGCTGCTGCTAACCTGTCAGCAAGCCTGCTAAAGCCAAAATTCCATCTTTTCTTCTCAAAAACACTGGGGAAAACAAGCAATCTGACCACTTACCTTCCTTGCAACTTCATCCCCGAGACAGAGCACTGTCCCTGTGCTGACTTGCCAAAATGCCAAGCTCCTTCATTTTAACATGTCCTGAAAAGAAGAAAAGACATCGCCTGGATCCTTCTGCAAGGGGAATTAAAGAGGAAAAAAAGCAATGCCTCTTCTAACTCCATCATATGCAAAGGCTCAAGCAGAACCACTGCGTCATGGTAAGTCTTCCTCTGTGAGGCTGTGGGGTCAGCAGCCCCCTGCGTGCCTCGAGCTGTGCAGAGCAGTCACCTTTTGGTGGGGACCTCTGGGTTTCTTTAAAATATGAGGCCTTTCAATTTGAAAAATTAAATAGCCAAGACCAGAGAGAGGATGGGCGTGCAGCATTGTCAGTGCTCCTCTGGTGTTACATACCTCTCAAGAGTGAATTTCATCAGCTGTCCCGCACACTTGGGGTGATTCTAACACACAGAGCTGCTCTTTTTTTTAAGATTTCACTTCTCAGAAAGTGAGTTAGCAATGAGAAGTTTTATAAATATAATTTGTATCAAAATTAAATGCATTTTAAAACATGTTTGGAGGCATAGATGCTTTTATTCTGGGTCACACCAGAATCTCTGCACAATTCACGTGCTACGTCTGCAGGATCTTCCTCTTGGAAGTCTATCAGAGTTTCGTGGGAGGGCAGCTCCTTGCTGTGCCAGAAGCAGCTGCCTTGGGAAGCAGCCTTGCAGGTTTGATTTGGGGCTGCTGGTACATTGTAGCTCTGCAGCTTTTTTCTGACAATACAAAATTTTCTGGTGCTTGCAGGAGGGCAGCCTCCAAGACGCGATGATGCCACCAGTGGAAGCAGCCGTGCAGGAAGTCATCTGTTCCCTCCTCCTCGCTTGGTGACAAGGTTTTAGAGCTCCTGTGCACGTACAAGAACATCTGCAGGGCGTCCAGCAGGAACACAAGAGTCTGTTGTGACCCCCCTGTTCCCAGGCACTGTAGAACCTGTCGTAGGGTTAGACGAGCCAGAGAGCGGGAACGTCACCTGCTGGGAGAGCAGCAAGGTCAGTGCAAGCCGTGTGTTCACTCCCAGTTTCCTTCCCCTATCCCCCCTCCCTCCAGGGCTTAATCCCAACCCGTGATTTCAATGGTGTGTGACAGGTGGAAAGAGCCTTTCCACTCAAAATGGAAGTTTAGATGTCTTCTCTTTATTGAGGCTTCAACACGTTCTTTCCATCTTTGCCACATGTTTTCAGGCAGGAAGACTCCCGCAGCAAAACTTTTGGTGAACTGTTGCTTTTTCTTTCTGATGCAGCTCCACAAATGACAGGGATTTAATAATAAAGTTTGCATGTTAATCCCAGTCTTCAAAAGGATTGGGAAATAGGCTGAAGCATCACACACTTCCTACACGAAAGGAACTCCCCAGGCAGCTTTCTGGATGGCAGTGCTGAGAACAGTCCCCCAGATCCACAGCACTGCAGGGTGAACAGCAGCCAGGGGGCTCCCAGCAGCCCAGCCTAGCCCCAGACTGATCCTCCTGACTGCTGTGGGGCAGCAGCCCCCAGCCCCCCCCACTCAGGGCCCCCGGGGAGCAATCCTGGCTGTGGGGCTGCCCTGGGCTGAGCTCCCCTGGGCTCAGGAGCGGCACGCTGCTCGTAATAATGCTCTGAAATGGAAGGGGATGCATCTCAAACCAGAACCACTGCCATTATGTTCAGCAACACTGTGATCCTTTCCATGGCTCAGCTTACTCAAGAACAACTAGCCAGGAGGTTGAGAAAACCAAACCAAGCCAACTCTAATTTAAACAATTACAGAATTAGTCATCAACAGACTAAGTAGCATTTAGACAGTAAGTTCAACATATGCCACACTGATGCCCTTAGCAGTTGCAAAATAGAATTAGAAAACTAACATTTATTAAATCAATTTGAATTTTAATATACATTTCAAGAACGTGGCAGCATAAGAGGAAATGTTTTTAGAAACAACCTGAATCTACCATTTGCAGTGTTACATTAACGACCAGGGCACTCCTGTCGACGGTTCCCAAAACACGCTTCACCTAAATCCTCAAACTTTTGGTACCATATTGAATGCAGCAGTGAGATAGTAAAAATGCCAAGTACTCCCAAGGTGGATTTCTGGAGCAAAGGTACTGTGGATTTCATTGAATCAAAGTCCTAACAAATGCACCGTCTTGGCAAAACTCAACAGCTCTGCGAAAGCGTTCAGAAACAACCCGTGCTGTGCAGCTCACCCCCCTCAACCAGACTCTGGTTTGGCTACTTGTCTTACACGTAGTGGACTAATAAACAGGTTTACATTAGTCAGTCACGATCAAACCACCAAATTTAGAAAATGGCAGGATCCTTTTGGGTCAACACAAAAATCACATACAAGTTTAACTAAATACATTTTAATAGGACATCGTTAAATTTCATGAGGGCTAAAAAACACAGATCTTAGGTACTTGGGTTGGCAAATAAAGACAAGAATACTAAGAAGCATTTTCCACCATTTACTCATTATCAAAAATATTTTTCAACTCTTCTTGCAAAACAAAAACAAAAAAGTACAGACTGGACACGTACATCACATTTTTCTTCCTATGGCTTTAACCCCCCACCCTACCCACCCCACAAAAAAGACGGGGGGAGAAACAAACCAAAAACCAACAAAAAGATCTGACCACATTCACAGAAAATGACACCATGGTACACTACAAAACAAAAGGAGGTGTCATTTGTGTCCAAAGGTTTTTGCTTATTTCTGAGGTGAGGAACCGTCATTGTACGTGCTTTGTGCCAAATCAAAACGCGCCTGGCGGCCGCTCGGCCAGCACCGCGGGGTCCTCGGGGCAGGGGAGATGGAGCTAAAGGAACTCAGAAACTCACCAACTACTGAACATGCTGCTGCAACAGGAACTGCCTTTGAAATTAGAAGGTAATGTTTTGTGTTCTAGTCAGCCCATGTTTAATTTGCATCGCCCAAAGAGGAGAAATTTCTGACTTTTTTTAGGCTGCCAATGAAGCCCTCAACGCAAGGCTAAATTCTTCCACTTGTACTCTTGTTTAGAGATCACACTGAAAGAAACCACTTCTGTGCACAGCTGAACTCCCACAAAGGCCATTTCATTTTAACACCTTCTGAGATAAGCTCTTTGACAAATTTGTGTGATTTTTTCCATTTCAGAGCCTTTCAGCCCAGGTTGAAAAGCACTGACCTTTGAAAGCTGCTTTCAACATATTAGTGAAAAATGAGATGAATTCTGAGTGGAGTGAGTCTTAGTCTAACCAACAGCCAAAATATCTGACCTCAGACAGCAATCGATCCTCTGCCCCAGCTGAGAGATGCCTCTCAGTGAAGAAGGGCCCTCAAAGGGGTGGGTCCCAGGTCTACTGTGGCATAGACAAAGCAAACACAGAACTCCCAGTGGCAGTAACTGCTCTGGAAGCCTCCCTGTATCCCAGACACAGGGGGGAAAATCAGCCAAGGAGTCTCTCTGGAACCCACAAACTCCCCTCTCTTTTCTAGAAAAAATTTTTTTTAAAAAAGGAGAGAATGATGCTAGAAAAACTTGAGCCTTCTCTACAAGTAATTTTCTCCCCCCAGCCAAAATAACATGTCAAACAAAGGAGTTGGCACCGAGGGCACAACTGATCAGGAACGTGACCTGTAGAACTGTCAAGAAAACAGAACAACAACAACAAAAGAAGAGTGATGTGCTTTAACGGGGGCAGCATGGCCCAGTCAGCAGGGTGATGCTCATCTCTAACCAACTGATCTTCCCCAGCCTTGTCTGGAGACTGAGCTGCTTTTTGGGCTGTGAGCTTTCTCAGTGTATGCATCTCCTGCAGGACCAGCAGGTGATTCTCTAGTCATGGTGACTGTAACTAATATTACTTTTCTACACCAAAATCTAGCACAGTTTAGATGGACTAACTAGATGCCACTTTTCTACATTTAAGCAGAAGCTTTGACTGAGCACAAAGCAAGACCCGAGTACAATGAGGTTAATGAATTCCTTGCCAAAGATCTTGTGATAAAATCATTTACATCAGCAATTGATCTCAAACTATGAGGTGCTGTAAGAACTAAAATCAGTTTCAGGGTAACTCCTCCATTATCTGCAACTATTTCCCAGACACTAATACACATAACATAGCAATGAAAAACACTTGATACAAGTGATCTAAACGCAGGAGCTCCGGCAAGTTAAACAGAACCATAGCTGCCTTAAAACTGTAGCAGTTCCCCTACTGACGGCAGGGAAAAGAAAAGATTTCAACAGTCGTATCTCATGTCTATAGCTTCATCCAAACTTTTGTCATCGTGTGTACTGGCAGCTAAAAACGTAGTTACTGGTGACCCTGTCACATTGATTACACTGGTGCTCGTGCTGGCATTGCGCACGGCAATGCTGGTCACGTTAATGCCCAAAGTAAGCCTAGTCTGCTCCAAGGCCTTTTCTGGCACTGCAAACGCCTCCAGCTTCTTCTCCCCGTTAGCCATGTAGGAGTTTTGGCAGCCACGGCATATGCAGTCAAGGCAGGCTTTGCGGTTCGAGTAGCAAGGGCAGCGTTGGCCACGGCATGTAAGAACACTTGGATTTTGGGTGGCACGACCACATTTACACCCTTTCTTTTCTTGGGGCTTTTTATACACAGTTTTTGTCGGGCTTCCTGGCATAACGTTACTGCTAGGGACTTTCTCCTTCGCTTTGTCTTTTGTTTTCAGCACCCCCGGTTTGGCTTTCGGGCGAGATTTCTTAGGGGCGTGCTCCAAGTTCTTTTTCATGCTTTTGTTAGACAGGAGCACAGTTTTACTGATTTTGGGAGTCGTGCCTCCGTTCGGGACAGTCGCAATAGGCTGCAAAGACATTTTGTTCTCCTGTTTCACTGTGACGGGAGCCGAGGCTCCCAGCGTCGGGCCGCAGATGATGCTGGAAATGGGGAGAGGCTGAACCTTTTCGCTGTCGCTTTCGGATCGAGATCGCTTCCTGTTCAACTTCACCACCTTGGGCGTCGCCGCCGTGCAGGAGATCCCGTGAGGAGAAGCATCTGTGGACATGAAAATGTTATGGCTGAGAGGCGAGGGAGCGAGCTGCAGGAAAGGGCCGTTGGTCATGTTTGCCTCCAAGCCGGGCTGCAGGTTGGACTCGCAGACTTCGGTGCCGGGCACGGTCTCCAGGCTCCGCAGCACCTCCTCCACGCTGAGCAGCAGCGAGCCGCCCGGCTTGATGTCCTCGCTGAAGCCGCAGATGTCGATGCCCGTCGTGCACAGGTCGCCGGTGGACACCGGGTCACACACGGGCTGCAGGCTGCTGGAGAGGTCCTCTGTTTTTATGTACTCCCCGGTGCTACAGACGTCGATGGCGTTGGCGTGGTCGGGAGAAGGAATAGCCACCCCCAGCTTCTCCACCGAGAGCCCGTTGCAGTTGGGCAGCCCGTTGATGACGGAGCCCCGGATGTCGATGCTGTGTGCGCTTTCGGGGATGGACGTAAAGCTGGCTGGAGGATCAGCTGTGAGTTCTGAGGTGGAAGGTACTGGGGAAGGCGTCAAACACAAAGCCAAGGCTGCGTCGGAAGGTTTTTCTGTCTCTTCGTGGAGTGGTGACCCATCTTTGAGCAAAGCCAAAAGGTCTGCAGAACAATCAACGGCCTGGATGATATCTCGTGCCAGCGGGGTCTGCGTTATGTACTCGCAGAGTTTCTTATAGCAGTTCACCAGGATGCTTAACTGCTTATTCTCCTCAAACTGTTCGTAGTCCTTGCACCAGCTACATGAGGGTTTCATCATCATCTTCTTGCCTTTGCAAGTTTTGCAGACATAATGCTGACACGTGGAGTTGGTAGGAGCAATAGGGTCTTGTAGCAAATTTCCTAAGGAAAGACAGAAAGAGAAGGGTTACAATGGACTCAAAGCAGGTTTCCAGGGGAGTACAGGACAATTTGTTTTGTACTAGCCAAAAAAAATCAACTAAAAAAGTTCAGCAAGTTACAAGAAAACCTACCATCCAAACAACAGACTATAAAAAGCTTTCACAGCTGCCATATCTGACTTTAAAAAGAAAAAGATAAAGCCATCACAGTCATTTTTTGTTGTTGTGCTGCTGCAGCCTTTAGAAACTCTCTCAGCTAAACCACCACCAATCCCCTCCTCCCCTTCAGCAATTTCTTCCACTGCAACTTGCAAAACACAAGATTTCTATGAATTTACCAAAAGTGCAACAACAAACTCCCATGAAAAGCTACTGCAGAAATTGTAATGAAATCAGTGAAAACAAATGGCAATGGAGCAGAGGGAAACCCAAAAAGCACTGTAAAAGCAATGAAATATCAACCCCTAAAGGGAAGAAGACACAGCAGATTTTGTTTTACTTTTCATTTAGCTGGGCTAAAAATAAAGCCTAGCTTTGTGACAGTCAATGCCACGAATAAAGCACAGTTTGTAACTTTGCAAGCAACAAAAATAGTTCAAGGGATCCCATGGATTCTTACAAACACTGAATAAAACACAATAAAGTTTTTTAATAAAAATGGGGAAAAAAAAATAAAAGGGAAAAAGAAAAGGCCTGTCCTGCTAAGAGACCCCTCCTGTGCCAAACCAGAAGGTGCAAGAAGACCACTATTCACATATCCTGGGAGTGGAGGCTCCTGGCTTCCCACTCCACAGATGCATATCAGTGAAATAAGACTTAAAATAGTGGTACTGTCATAGCCATGATGCTTCAATACTTTACAGCCTCAACGACAGCTCATCTCCTGGGCAGGAGTGAAGAAATCAGAATAAAGGATAAGATTAAAAAACTAAGAAAAATCAGTTTCTCAAGGAACACACACACCTGAGAGCACAGAAAGCTTCAGACACCCAGTACTGACAATCTGGAAGGTTGTCTCCAGATCTCCAAAACTGTAAAAACCTTGAAGTTTGGGGGTTTATTTAGGAACAAACAAAATAACACATAGGGATAAAATATGAAAGAATGGAGGTGAGTGAAATTCTGCCCAGAAATAATCCAGCTAGCAACTCTATCTAGAAAATGACAGCACTGCTTTGCTATTTCTGGCCAGCTCAAGCCAGAAAGATATTCGAACAACTAAATTAAATTTCAGAGTATCTCCAGTCATCCACAGCAGCAGCTCTCCCCTCCTTTCCAGCCAGGAGATTTGCAGCTCTTATCAGACCCTTCTCCCCACAAGGTGCCTTTGCTGGGTGAGTTAAAACCATCAGTGAATTCTCACCCAGATTTTCCAAAGTGAAAACGGGCTGCTTTGGCCAAAGGAATTAAATGCAATCATTGGGGAAGAGAAAGCAAAGTGCATATATTAAGACAGGCAGACTGAGTATCAAATACAAAGATGTTTTCTCCCATCCCATGGACCTTCTGTGGCAGTGCTCTGAAGTGCCATCACTGACTGGACCTACTCGAGTGGCTGAGTTAGCAACTGTGGAAGAAACCCCAATGGTTCTACCCTGGGCTACCTGAGGCAAGGGCCTGACAGAAGAGCAGGACATGCTACCCTGAGCCTCAGCTGCAGGAGCATTGACAAACTAAACGTGTCCCTCCCTCTGCAGCTTTTGTCAACATGTTACACTCCCTTTCTAACCTAACCCTTCGTGCTCTTCACTATTCAAACCACTTCTGAATTTTTTTTTTTTTCTCATAAATGCAAAAGACCCTTCAAGTTAAGCAGTGAAGATTTAAAGCCAACAGATGGAACATGAAGTCACAGAATCCAACCTGCAGTGGAATATTTTTTTAAGTTCCCTTTAAGTGACACTGTATGAACAGCAATGCAGGCAGAGTTGTCCATCACCACCCTAAAACTGGATTTGATTTTGTGAGAAAAGTCCCTAACTCCCACGGGGGAAAACAAAAGGAAAGCTTTAAATCACATCAGCCAGTCTCAGAAGTCACGTCCTTCACGTTCAGAAAGTTTAGAAACACGTGTCCATCCCCTCTGGATCTTGAGCCCTTCCAAGAGGACAGGGAAAAGGCCACTGCAGGAGGTACACACACCTCACTCTGGCTCATTTCATGAGTTCAGGAGCCACGGTGAAACCACGTGCACCCACAGCATCTCCAGGACCAAAGGCCCAGCAGCATTCACAGCCAGTGAAACAGAGCAGCTGGGTGTGCTCCCTGACCCATCTTCAGCCTCTCTGCTACTTAGGATGAATCACTAAAATAATTTGGAGAGAGAACCAAATAAACTATACACCAATTTAATTATATTTTTTCAAAAAGTCATCACCAACTGTGCATTTTATTTCTCCCAAAATAAATTTGGCTGAAGCTGCTGAATGGGTAGAACACTAAAAGAGGATACTGAAACATTTAAATCTGCAGAAGCTCTGAGGAACAAAACAGAAGACACAACACCCCACATGCTCTCACTGCAGGAAGGAACAGAGCAGGCTCTGCTCTCAGCAAACTGCAGGCAGCCTGCACAGGAGGGACAGCAGGAGTGCCCCAGCTCTGGCACTGCCTTCAGCCTGAGCCTGCATATCACTGAACACTGACTCCTTACAGTCCCCCTCACACAGGTTCTGTGGCACCTCCACTCTCTCCACCTTCAGTAGCATTAAGCTAAAAAAAAGTCAACCACAAGATGCAACTTCACAGAAAATTCATTTTCATTAGTTTAACTACTCAGGGAATGTTATTAAGTCAGCAACACTGTCCCAGAAAGACAACCCCCAAGCTGCTCCCCAGAACGTGGAGGTACTAAGCTCTAGCACATTCCCTGCTGTTGGATGGTAACAGGCTCCCAAAGTCCAATGTTTATCTGATGCTGCAACATAACACATCTTCCCAGGTTAAGATTATGAACTGCACTGTGGAAATAAAGCTGGGAAGGGTTCCAAGGTGTCACCTGGCCCATCCTCCAGCTCCTAGGAATACCCAGACTGAGTCAGGCCAAAGATCCACCTAGCCCAGTGGTGTACAAAAGGGGCCATCTCACTAGTGGCCAAGAGCAGATGCTTTGGGCACAGAGTAAGAATGAGGCAAGTAAATTCTGAATACCTGCCCAGTGACCATTATTAGCTGAGGTATTTCTCACAGGATTTGGGGTTCCCAGGTACTCAGGAGCCCTCAGAGTCTCTCCTTAGGCTCTCCTCATCTCCTTTTCAACTATTTAAAGTGTAATCAGTCACAACAGGCTTTCACAACAAGTTCCCTGGTCAACTATCCCTTGTGCTGAGAACAAACTTTGTTTGGAACATGCCTCTTAGTGGTTTCACTTGATCATCTCTGGGTCTTGTGCTGGAGAAGCCACCAGTGAAATCCATCCTTTCTTCCACACCACCCATGGTTCTACAGACATCTACCACGTAACCCTCCAGCTTGTCCCTTCTCCAGACTACAGAAGTTGTTCCTTCTGCTGGATCACCCTTCCCCTAACTCCTCACAGTTCTTTTTTGAGATGGGGGGACCACAACTGCAACAACATAAAGTATGGGTGAACCACAGCTTTACACTGTGCCACAGTCAAGTTCTCCACTTTATTCTCTAGTCCAGTCCTGACTTTTAGCATTTGTTTTGCTTATTAGATTGATGCTCAGTACTGCTGATTTCCTCATGGCATTTTTTACTGCAAGGCCAAGATCTCACTTTTGGCTGGTAGCCATCAGTGCTACCCCCTTTCTATAAGTGTAAAGATTTATATAGATCTGCAACACACACAATGCTGGGCTCTGAGAGGTTATTATTTTTCCACATTTGTAATTTAATATTTATCTAAGTTAAATTTAATTTGTCATTTTATTGCATATTCATTCACCCATGTAAGATCATTCCATGATTACTCAGTGCAGGGCTTCATTTTTACTACTCTGAATAGATTCTGAACGTGTACGTTAATTTGAGCACTTCCAATTAATAAGCAGCATATACAGAGGAAATGCTTTTAATATGTTATTTACAAAATATCACAGCTGTCCTGGAAAGGCTGCTACCAGGAGGGAGGTCACCTAAACCACAAGGAATACTTCCTATTGTGTTCCTTAATGAGCATTATTACTTCACAGCTGCAGGAAGAGAGAAGCATCTGCAAACTGTATCTCAGAGACCAAAATGGGGAGAAGAATTGGGAATCAAAGCAATGGTCAGGTGTCTATATCCAGCAAATGCCTCCAAATGGGTGAAATTCCATGAGAACACAGACTTGAATCAAAGCAGGTCACCTCCTTCCCTTCCCATCTCTCTTCAGCAAAGGCAGAAATATAATGGCCTAGAAAAGGGGCTGAACACAAGTAACTAATTTATCTGGTGCCCTTGGAGGAGCCTGCTGAAAGATAATATATTGCCTTTCCAAACAACTGCAAGTCTTAAGAATGATGTAACTATTAAATCTTAATTGGAGGAAGTAAACTAAAAAAAAAATAATTATGTCAGACTTTATTACAAGCAGAAATAAATGTGTCACTGGGGTTAATCTCCAACATTCCTCTGCCAAACAGCCTGGGCCTGGCTTGCATTAGCCTCTCCAGGAATCACCCGTGGTTTGTAAGGCACAGGAAGCAAGTGGAAAGCTCAACAGCCCAGCACTCTGCCCCCTTCACTCCCTGGGCTATCTGCTACACAACACAACAGGGCTGGCAGCCAAGGAGAGGGGAGAAGACAGTGAGAGTGGGGCTAAGAAGGAAGCTCACCAGCACCAGTTAATCCATGAACATCAAACATGGCAGTGGCCACGATTTCATTCTTAAACCAACACTACAAAAGGCTACTGTGAATAAAACAGGGATTTATAATCAGTCTGATGGAGCACACAAACCTAACTGTGTCACACACACAAACTAAACTCTGTCTTACACTTGAGGGTACAGCCAGCCCCTCAAAGGAACAGCCAGGAGCTGGGGATTTAACAGCTGCACTGCTGCATTTTCAGCAGTTCTGGATTAAACATGGTCTGAGTGTTTCTACTGAAATAATGAGCACCAGGCAGTACCTGTAACCAATTCATGCTGCAGAGTTAAGCACCCCTGAAGGATGGGGCTAGTTCTCAGACTGCTGTACCCCTTGCTAGGCTTTCTGAAGCTGGCCCACCTGCAG